ACCTGCGTTTAGTTTTGATACTTTCTAAAATAATTTAAGTAAGATTTGTTTTTGCAAAGACTTTAATGCAGGACTTTCACTTTTACAGCATGGTATTGCCACTGTTACTTTAGTAAAGGCTCGGAACACTTTCTGCATATTAAATTTCACACAGTACCAGAAAGTAAGAAGCATGGAAATTGGATGACATTAATTTTTCAGTTGAAAAATTAGTTTTAAAATATCAGTTAAAATTAAAGAGTGTTTTTAGCTGTATTTTCCCTCCACATATGAATATTTGTGTGACATTTTGCTCATTCCAGCAATAATTAGGCATCATGATGAGTTTTTAAAGATCGCATATTTTACACTTTTCCTGTTTTTTATCTGAAGTGTTGATCCACAAGAAGATTTATTTGTGGTTTTAAGAGCCAAAAACCATCTCAATGTGGTTTTACATCTCCTCTCTCAGGCTTCTCTCTGGAGCTCTAGTAACAACAGGTTGTTGAGCCAATCAGAAGAGAGGAGGGTCTGAGCCTCTCTTCTGATTGGCTCACTGTTTTCTGAGTGATCCAATAAAAATCTAGCAGATTTCAGGTAAACACTCAAAGAAACCAAATCCTGCAAGGTTGGATGGCTGGGTCCCGGTGGGCGGGGCTTGGGGCCTGACTGAGAGTGGTGACTGCTTTGTTGTGACATCACAAAGTTCCAGAAGTCCTGACGGCTGGTTTTAAGGCTCAGTTTCTGAACACAGGCTGTGGCATTTCTCTGTGGACTGAGGCTTTGATACTTTCACTGTTGTATTAATAATAGAAGCTAAACCTGATATTTATTAATCAAATAACACATGGAAAATCACTTTAAACAATATGGGTCCTTTCAGGTCCAAGGGTCCAAGAACAACACAGATAATTTTCAGATGGTGACTCAGTTACAGTCACTTTGAGATGGTGAACATTGACATGAAAGCTGTAATGATCACAAGTTTTCAAATCACTTCAAATCTAAAAGTGTTAACAGTGAAGATTCATTGTGGAACACAGCTGGTACATCACTGGTCTCTATTATCGCCAGAACAATACATACTGAAAACAGCAAATTTGTCTTGGCAGCCATCCAGAGGGAGCGAGACATAGTGTCATGTACATATCGCAGAAAATAAAATGATATCATAGTTAAGGAGAGTGGCAACAAACTGAGCTCCTAGTTCATTCTGCATATTCACATGCTTGTACACACACAACATCTATTCTACATCAGTCTTATATGTTCTGGCAAAATTGAACTTGTTTTCATCATGACACGACCTACCGGCAAATTCGGTTGAAGTGATTTTTATTCTCCAATATCGAAGGCCTGGAGTTTAAGCGGCGTATTCCGTAGTCAAATGATTTCACCCATCTGGATGAGGAAGGAGAGAAGGGGAGGCAGTAGCCGGTTACCAGGGCAACATGACGAACACCATCTCAGGTATAGCTGACTCTCCTTCTTTTTATTTGAAAAGTACCAGAACCTTGTAGAGTAACAGCACATAGGAGTTTCTTTTGACTGAGAGTCCCCCATGGCATCTTTGGTAAAATGTGTGAGAAAAATACAGACTCATAATAAAAAAGGATAAAACAAATGAGATAAAATATTTTTAATAAAATGGGAACAGGATTTCAGACAGTGCAAAGGTTTACCTCCGTGTGTAAAATAAAGGGAAGCAATATGAAGACTGTGAGCTGCATTATTTCAAACGGATTGAAAAGGTGACACATTACTTTTAATTTAGCCTCAGTAATGGACCGAGGTTCCTTCATCACAGAGCTACAATTTAAAGGTGGAGAATGAGGCAAGTCCTTTTATTCTTGAAATGTTTCACTCGGGTTTTGGCATCTAGTTGGATGAAAATCTGCCGTCATGCTGGAATGTGCAGTGCCCGTTCCTCACCTCTTTCTGCGTTGTTGTATATTATGTTTATTCGGTCAGGAAGGTTCGTTGTGGCAGAGGACATCGGCGATTTGTCAGCTGCGAGAGGTGTCTCTTCAGCTGACTTCCATTTCCCGCTGACACAGAGTCTCAAAGCTGGGCACCTCTAGCAGAGCCGCAGAAACTGTAAGAGGTAAAAAAACCACTGACATTACTTTTTTTTCGTGATGGATAAGACAGGATTGTCTCTCCAACGTTTTGAGGCATGTTTCATGATAAGAGAGTTTGCTTTGAGTCTAGCTGTGAGGTACAGGCGTTGTGTTTGGTTGGCCGCACAAGTTCCAGCTCCCAAAAGTCACTCAGGTGATTCAAGTAAACCACACATCATTCCATGATTAGCAATTTAGCCAGTTGTGTGATACTTCATTCCAAGAGCTTGAGCCTCTTAGTTATCAAAATTTATAATTTAGACATGAGACAGGTGTTATCATTAGTCCAGCAAATATCAGCAAACAGTCGTCAGTGTTTCTACACTTCCAAAGTAAATAGCAGCCTTAACTTTTACCATTTTGTCAACCACGAACTTTACATGGAAGCAAAAAAATGACTGTTTCCACATTAAATAAAGAATACTTTTTGTATTGCGCACAACTGTCTGCTTCACGGTGCATCTGGCGTTTCTTGTAAACTTCAGCCTAGCAGCTGTCACTGAATTGCACTGTGGACAGAAGGTGGAAG